TACTTCAAAAACTTGAATGGTTGATACTCTATCACAATAGTGTTTCAAAACATAGGTGTCATCAATATCGTAATATAGTGAAAGTAACGGTTTTACATTTATTTGGGTTTAACACTAAGTCATTATCATTGCATCATCGTGCGAAGGTGTGTCAGACATTTTGTGACTCCAAACTATCCTGTGATTTTATGATTTAAAAAAAAAAAATTGATATCCAAAAAGGAGACATCTTTCAACACTTTTTTTTATTCATTAATTATCTTATTAAATTTTATTATTTGACATCTTTCAAAATCAAACTAATGTCATGAATAAAAATTATAATTAGTAGGGGATTCAGGTGCGAACCTTGAGGATCCTCCTGGTAATACAAAAATACAGTAAGATCCACAGTTATTGTGCAACACATATTGAACTGTAAACCATTGTAAAAGCAGACCATCTATATCAAAGTACTCTAGTTTATAAATGGGTTTAAAAAGATTAACTGAATCAAAAGCTTTACTGAAGTCAGTTAAATACTGTCCACTTATTATTTGTTTTCCAATGTGTCCAAAATGTACTGTGTACTCAATATTTATACCAGGCATAAAGCAAACTGCCTAAGAGGAAAGGAAATATTGTAGACTTTAATTTATCCACCTCCAAAGACGCAAAAAGCTTTGGTATAATATTAAGTATCAAAATTGATCTGTAGTTTGTGATATTATTCTTGACACAGGTAAAAAAAAAAAAAAAGTAAAATAATTAAAAAAGTAAAATTTTCATTCCACTTGAAACTTCCCTGCAGCTGTCAAACAATACCTTCAGCAACTGAGAAAATACAAAAACAATATTCTTTATAAATATTAAGAGGTTATTCCATCGGGTACAACATTGCACTTAGCGTCTAGACTTTTGATTTTATCCAAAATATGTAATCAACTTGTAATAATAGTGTTTAAGACAAGATGATAGAGCTTTCTTCAAGATTAAAACGGTATGCATTACTAGAGTGATGACTGGAAGAAGTTGAGAAATATGTGGCAAAATCAGTTAAATGTTTACACTTATTTCTCATGATAGACTGGCAAAAGTGGCTTAGGGCATCAACTGATGTCACTTCTTTGCTTCTGACTAGGTCCTAGGGTTTGAGTCATGACGATGGCATGATTTTCGACACTAGCTTGTCAACTAAGTTGAATGCAGCCGCTGTTTGTAGAAGAATTTTGTGGCTGGCTGCTCTGAATGGTAGTTTTCCATGGTTACTCAGATCAACACACTCTTTCCTTCCCCACTCTTGTCCTTTCCTCACCCCTTCCTTAGACTTACACTTACTCTTACACTCGCATGCACTACACTACTACCCTTGTTAGAAGACCAGGTGAGAGCTTAGAGCAGGGTTGTGCACACACACACAACACATACTCTGTCAAAGTCATCACCATCTTAATGTAAAAATAGGTTAAGTTTAGATTTAAGATTTTTTTCCTAGTAATTTCAAAATCATCCCAATGTTTTTCCATCCATTGTGGATAGTACAGCCTGATATCACGCATGGTTCCATCCCCCTCTCCCCCGAGAAGCCATACAAACTGTTGAGATTAACAAAACAGGGTCGTGTGGATCGCCCAAGTTAGGAAAATATGACCCGCAGCCATATAAAAGGTTTTAGTTGTGGCCCGTGAGGCCTTGCTAGTGGACACCCCTGGCTTAGAGCTTACCCTGACTGGGGCAGTTGCCTGCTGCTGGGAAATACCTGGTTGGGAGGAAATCCCTGCAAGCTGATATAGGTTGGCGCTGACTAGCAGGGAGGATAGGAGCTGGGGAAGATCACCACCACCGTCTGCGATGAAAACAAGTACATCATTAACGGAACTAATGATCTTAGCAGTTGACATGCCCAGAATCACTAATTAGTCAATCAAGTTAGAGAACAATTTATAATAAATTAGCAAATCATACAATTTATAATGTAAATATGTCTTTTTCTTTTCAAAAATCACAGAGTGCAGCTCTCTCTTACACAATGATGGAAACTTGGAATTCTACAACTTTTTCTTAGGTACATTAATTCTAGACCATTATAAACATTAGTGTAAAGTATAGTTATACACTCGGCAAACAATAATTCAAAGATATAATTTTTGTATTTACTTTACAAAGATATTGGTTCCTCAACTCATAGTTTACCAAAGAAAAATCTTAGAGCTTTTAATCAAAACAATTATTTACTTGTATCTCAAAGCATTTATAGCCCATTGACAGAAGTGAATGACAGGCAACCAATTGAATTGCATCCGGGAACTCCTCGATAGAATAATCATTCAAAGTGGTAAAAATTAAATCTAACATTATATCACGTTCATTGTAAATCATGTTTGATTGTAAAAGATTAAGATAACGAACGTTTTTAATATTTTAAATATGTAGTATTGAGTACTTCTCACTTGAAACTCTGAATATATCATCCCTGCAAGTTTTGTTCTTTCATTTTCCTAAAATAAAGTTATTTTTTATCATATGCCTTCAGCATTTGAGACATTTGAAGTTAAGGAATATAGTGAAAATCATCCTACTTGTGTATTTGAAATCATGTGCAATTTCTAAAAACTCATGTCAGTGTCTGTTTTATTCTCCAGGATTGGGTGCACCAAAATGAAATATTTTGTGATACATAAAACAATAATAAAGTTATGATTTATTACAATATTTTTTTAAATGCTGAATTATTTATAGACTTTCTTAAATGTATTCTAAAATAATATTTTCTATTTCAGGTTTTTCATACGAGATATACTTCTTTTTATTTTACTGCCAATTGGCTTGGACTATATACTATTCTTGTTTTTGTTTTTTTTTTCTTCAGAGATTTTTCAGAGGAGATTGAAAAATAAGTTGTTTTTGATTGCTTCTTTTTCTTCGTCTTTCTCTTCTTCTTCTTCGACTTTTCTTCTTTAGAAAAGTTGTCATTGTTTTTTTTCTAAATTGATGAAACTTCATCAGAATTTGTTTTATTTTCTTGAGATTTATTTTGTATATTTATTCATGTCCATACATACTTTAAATTTGAAGAGATAGTGATTTTTATTCAATGTGTATATCTAGAAAATAACACTTTGCTTATAAATATTTGTAAGATTGAACAGATTAACTGAATTTTCTCTAAAAAAGAAGACAAAATTACATTTTTTAATTTGATTACCTGCAGATGGGAGATATCTGAAAATCAATTATCAATAGTATATTATGCAACTAATTTATAATGTTAGGCTTAATTGCATATTTTGAAAATAAAAGACATTAAGAGTGAGTTTTTAAATTAGAATAAATGTCGTAAAACAACATAAACGAGTTGCATACACTATTTGTTGTAACACAGCTTAATAAATCGATAAAAGAACCAAAATTAATTTTCGAAACAAATTTCAAAAGCAGGCTGTTTACAACATAGTAATAACAACATAGACAATAGTATTATGAGTCCACACAGTGAAGACAAGTGCTGAGGACGGACAGTGAAGACAAGTGCATGAGGGCGGACGTGAAGCAAGTGCTGGAGAGCGGAGACAGTGAAGACAAGTGCTTGAAGGGCGGACAGTGAAGACAATGCTGAGACGGCGTGGAAGAAAGTGCTGAGGAGCGGACAGTGAAGACAAGTGGTGAGGGAGGGACAGTGAAAGACAAGTGCTGAAGGAGACGGGACCAGTGCAGACAAGGTGCCTCGAGGACGGACAGGTGAAGACAAGTGCTGCAGGAGCGGACAGTGAAGCACAAGTGCTTGAGGTTACTGGGGACAGTGAAAGACAAGCTGCTAGGACGGACAGTGAAGACAAGTGCTGAGGACGGACAGTGAAGACAAGTGCTGAGGACGGACAGTGAAGAAAGTGCTGAGGACGGACAGCTGAAGACAGTGCTGAGGACGGACAGTGAAAACAAGGTGACTGAGGACGGACGAGTGAAGTTGAAGACAATTGCGGACGCTGAGCATTGAGAGACGGACAGTGAAGACAAGTCTGAGACGCTAAGCAGTGCTGAGGACGGACAGTGAAGACAAGCTGCAGTGAAGGTTGAAGCGGACAGTTGAAGACAAGTGCTGGAGGATTGCAGGGAAGATGAGCTGTGTGATAAAATGCTGTGTGTCAACAATTGCCTTTTATGAACGATTTCTTGCAATAGAATCTGTCTTTTATAACGCTTGTATACAAAAAATATATTTTAGTTTCTTTTTATTTCTTCTTTTACTAGATTAAATATGAGAAAATATGTAGCATGGATGGTATGCTTATATATGCCAGAAAACAAACTTGTAATGACAATTAAGCAAGAATTACATTTATTGAGTTCTGAAATACATTTTTTATCATTCTGTTATTTTCAAGTAGGACAAGTTATAAATGAGATTTTTATATGTATGGAAGCTAAGTGATAATAAAAAAATGATGACAATTAAGACAATGACATGTCAGAATAATTATGCTTCCTGCTTTTTAGGCATATTTCATTGCTCTGTTTTTCATTCCTGTAGATTTCTTTAATTTTATTTGTTTTGGGGCTGAAGAGTTTTAGAAATGTATTATTATTATTATTATTATTATTATTATTATTATTATTATTATTATTATTATTATTTTATTAGTACATCATTATCATCATCATCTCCCCAGTACTTTAAGACTATTCATGTTAATTTAACACTATATTTCCATTTCAAATGACTGTACCTTTTATTTGAAAATAAAACATGGTAATGTGCTTTTAATCACTATCAAAACTGTTATTAAGTCTTTTAACTTCCTTAGTGCTACCAAGTGCTATCAAGTTTAGGTTGCAGCAGTTATTGTTGATGTCTTATTATGTTATGTTTTGTACATGTTGCATGTTTTATATTTTGATGCATGAATATGCTTTTTAAATGTGAAATTAAATTTAATTAATCTGCCAACGTTTAACATTGATGTTAATGAATAATTACAGAATGTTGATTTATTTAAGGTAACTTTTGTGTATATTTGTTGCAGATCTGCAAATACTGGACATCAGAACAGCAAAAGTCATTCTTCATTGTTACCTTCAGGAACGACATCACGGACAGCAGCTCTAATTGCCAGGACTTCTACTGGTACACTCAAAGGAAACAAAAGAGATAAAAGCTCTAAGGATAAGAGACGTTCAAGGAAAAGTGACCAAGGGCTGACGGTTGCTCAGTCTCCTCCTAATACGCAGTGGTATACCACTGAGAGTATTGAAATACCAACAACCCCAGTATTTGAATTACGGCAAGAAGTGAGTGTGGTAATACTCGAATCAATTTTATTACTATTAATTTAGTGAAATGTGTTAATTGTATTATCATTTTATGATTTCAATTATGAATTCTCAAACTCATTAAATTTATAATTCTACATTAAATCCAACAGCTGACTCCAAAAAGGCCTCTTAGATCTGAAATAGAACGAGAACGCAGACTTAGTAGGACTTCAAGTGGTCATTTTTCAATTAAGTCAAGTCCTAGTACTTCAACACTTCGTTTCAACGGAACTATTCCTGGTAACAGGGATTCTATTGGTAAGTGCTCATGTTGAATGTACTTTTTATAAACTAACTACATTTGTAAGAATTGCAATATTGATTACCAATACATCGACTCTTTGATAGGATAAGGTTCCAAGTGACAAAATCAAAGAAAATAAGTTGTTAATGTGCTAAAGTTCTACCTGTCACCTGCTACAAGTACAACATATTCATGCTGCAAAGGGTGTACAAATAGCTACTGTAAAAATCCCCGCAGTGGGTGGTAAATACTGCATTAATGAAACTTTGGCAACAATGCTCAAAATAACTGAAATATTAGTTGCAACCTTCATTCCAAAGGGTCGATATTAATCTTATCTATATTTTAAAAATAAAGAAGAGTATCAATTGTTCAAAATGCTTACATCTTTTGTCTTTTTACCCATTTGCCAGGGGTTACCCAATTTCTGGGGAGGGAGGGCACCACTTTGTTCTGCATGATATATATAATTTCGGTACTTTCTTTTTTCCCTCTTCTTTTTCTTCTTTTTTTTCTTTGAGACTCAAAGAGGGCATTTGCGACCTTTGCAACAGCAAGTGTACATCAATTCTGATGGCCTAAGGTTGTGCGCAATTACAGGGCAGTTGTTATATACACCCTAATTTCAGTTTACAAATTTTTGCTTTCCATCTTTTGTATCCTAAAAATAGATTTTTTCATTGGAAATACTTACATATACATTAACAGTGCTTCAGTTTTAAGCACTTCTGGTAATTTTCAACTTTTTTTCCCCTCCTGGAATGACTTGCTTTGTGTGTTTGTATAACTTTACAATTTTTGAAGAATCAGTTTCAAACAACATATATATTTCTTTCCTCCTCATTTTCAGTCCCTTCATTATTATATCTTTATGAACATCATCAATGTCTTCACCCACCCAGTTGTGCTTTGAGGAATTTAAATTAATCAATATTGTGTAGGTACTACAGATTCTACCGCAAGTGAGGAAGATGCTATTCCCCCACCACTACCACAGAAAGTTCGAGAGGCTGACTACTGCAATCTTCCAGGAGACACAGATGTGCCTTGTGAGTCAACACAACCCCCTTCGACACCTAAAGTTAGAACAAAGGTAAGAATATTTGTCTTTCGTGCCTGTAAAAGCAATCCATTTTGGTTCTGTTATCCAGTTGTGATGACTCTCAATTCCTATCTGTACTTACTATTAGATCAATCAGTAAATATTAAATACAAAATAAAAGATTATATCCTAAATACTATAGCATTTTTGTGAATATTTGATTGATTGATTTCTCACATTTGGTGTAATTCAATTAAAATGAAACCTTTTCAAAGAGAGGTCAAAGTAGGAGTGCGTTGCATCAAGAATTTCCAATAGCATTATTAAACACTTGTCAAGTTGCGAGTGCATAAGAAGTGATAGCTTGTTTGATTCCTATCAACAAGACAAATTGATTGGCACAATTCTTAGCTAGTTTCCTCCATTCCAGATATTCTGTAAGAATTCTCGATAACAGTGTGTTTTTTATTGTTTCTCTGCTCCTACTATATAGTTCATTGATGAAATGCTACGAATGTCTTCTCTCTTTCTGGCATTTGCATAAATCATTGTCTTGATTCATCAGATAGACAATAATTAAACTTAATATTATAATTAAACAAATCTTACAGAATTATTTTAGTCGATACATTTTATGAAACTTTTATTGTATGAAAATTAACTAGCTGGGCACCTGCAAAATAAACATTTATTTTTTATTATGGACTTGCATAGCATGGGGAAAGCTTGTTAACATCAAAATACCCACCAGAGTCCCCATGCTAAGCTTGTAATCAATATTCAGAAAAGCAAAATGTTAATTAAGAAAATTATTAAGTATGAATTGTTATACTTGGCTGTCCAAGACTGTTGGTCAAGATGATGTTTCAGCCATCATGTTGTAGCCCTCTTCAGAGCTAGACTGCTGAGCCAGTAGTATAGCTCTGAAGGCCACAACATAGCTTAATCGTCAGCTTGACCGACTGTGACACGGCATATCCCAGACCACCAAGTATCAAATGACTCCGACCGTGGAAGCCTTCAAATCTATGAATTGTAGACAAAACGAATAATGACCTTTCTTGGTAGCACCTCTTCTATAAAATACACTGCAAATTGAATTTGACATTAAGACACGTAGTTCTTTCGAATTCTGTTCCAAAAATATTTATTTTTTGAGAAAGAAAAATATTTAAGTATAAAAATTTTAGCAAAATTAAAATAATATCAGATATGCCTTATTTTTTATTTCTACCATTGATAAAAATTTTATTTCAGCCCCCACCTCCTGAACCAGTGGAAGACAGTCGACCACCAACACCCCCACCAAAACGACCACCTCTAAAGCCACCTACAGCATCGTAGTCTAATTGTGCGTGTTATAATTTTTTAAAATCAGATTTGTTTTCTTGTAATTGGTACTTCATAATATACATCACGCATGAATTAAGCATTTTCAAACTGTAAGAATTAATTGAATGTTTTTACTGTGCAGTCTTTTTGTAAAAGTGTACATTTTGTAACATATGCAATATTAATATACATTGATGACTGTGATAAATGGATGAAATGCCCATTATGGGGAATTGCATTAAATATTGCCAAAGCCTGAAGCTGAACACAAAAATGCAGTTCTTCATCACTTTTCACAATTATGCATTTACTCGCATATTTAGTTCTCTTTTCATATTTTTAGTTATAGATCAGTGAAATGCTTTAAATGAGTTGCTAAGAGAAATTTATTCTAATATTTGGAATATGAAATTGTGCCATAGATTTTGTATTAAGGAGTGCCTTTAACAATAATATTTGACCGATGATGAGGTAAAAGAAGAACAAAAAAGATAACTGAATACAAACTAAGAAATTCTTCTTTCATTATGGTGTATGGAATAAATTAAATAATCATTATAACTTTCTGTATACAATTCATATTCCTTTGACTGTCTAAAACATAATGATCGCTTTATTTTGGGTAGTAGATAATGATCCAATTTATTTTCATATTTGTTTTGTTTTTTTATTAAAATACAAAATAAAATTGTGATAAATGAAAATGGCTTTTCATAAATGTGAGGCTTCTTCAAACTTGAAAAATGAAAGAGTTCAAAGAAGAAGAAAAACTATCCTAAGTAATTAAATTAAACTATTGCTTCCCCTGGACACTTCTGTATTCTTATAAGTAATTTTGATAAATCTACAGTTGAATACTTTGTTTTAACCAAACTAAGAAGTGAATCGACAAACCAAGTATAAAAAAAATAAGAAAAAATGAAGAATTATTAAAATTTTTCAATAAACATCATTAAATTTTTTCTGCTCATATTCTAGGCTTTATAACCCAAATTTGATGTAATTAAATATCCCAAATATTTCCTTGAAACAATGGAATAAAGGGAAGGAAACTGTTATGTGAGTGAATGCAACATTAAAAAAATAATTATCGTAGCTTTAACTCATGTTTGCCATGTCATTGTGCGCATGCTCATTATTCCTACAAATGCCATATTTAATATCATTTACTTATTGTTTATCAATTTCTCTCCATAAACTTTGTGCAAATAAGGTTACAAAATGTGTATTTTTTTCATTCCTCCAGTCCACGTGTGTTATAACACATGGTTCATAAAGTTGTGTTCATAAAATATATTTCTGATATTTTTACTTAAATTCTGAATTATTTCAAATAACAATATTCTAAATTGTTTTTAATTTTATTAATAAATTTCATATTAGAATCCTAATGGTTCACTCTAGCTAAAATTGTAATGTGCAAATTGTTCAACTTAATGCACCTCTTTTTTTATTTTTGGGAAATGAAATAAGTTTATTTTGCCTTAGAAATTCAGAAATGTATTAATGTGCTGCTTGTGTGTGTTATTGTTGTAAACTTCATAAAAATATGGTTGTGAGAAAGACAAAATTTATATTACAGTATTTGTGGGCACAAACATAGTGTATAAATACTTTCAATTGTACTAATTTTCTGTCAGTGCTGTATTATTTTGCATTGTTACATGTGCTTGGAAGGAAGATTTTCTCTGGGATGTGGCCCTTTTGTTATGATTGAAGAATGTGAGTTGGTTCAAATAAGTGTGTAAATTATAAATAATAAGATTTGATGTCACAATTTTGCCAGTATGTTTGAAACATTGCAAAAGAATTAAAAATGGAAAAAGTTAAATACAAGTGCTCTTCATCAATTAAAGCTATTTGATATTCACTTAAGGTTTGAAAATATTATACTGTCCATTTTATTATTCAGCCTCTTCTACTTATTGCAACTATGACACCTTAAAAAAAAAATTATAATAATAAAATTCAGTCAGGACACATGTCTTCCGATTGATGTCTACAGGCTATTTCAAAAATTGTGAGGGAAAATATTTGTTACTGTGTATGGACTGAAAACTCCTTTTCGTTTATCTTCTTTTATTCTTTATCCTAAAGATATACCACCGTTTGTATATAAAGCTATTATCCTTTCAAAGGCCAATTTTTTTTTTCTATAAGTTGTCTAGATAATTAAAAAAATCTGTAACTAATGTTTTTTAGAATTCTATTTGTTAATAATAAAAATTTGTATGTATGCATGAAGTTTATTTTGTCTCTGTTCTTGCTCTGGTGAATGTTGTTACAGCAGACAGAGAAAATAATTGAAAGGTTTTGTAGTATTTTTTTGCAAGAAGACATTTTAGTCTTATCTACATATGATAAACTTATGAATATGTGTTAATCTCTCTTCAAATTTTTGAAAATTTTAATTGGAAAATGTGTATCCTGGTTGAATGACACTGATTGGTCTGGTCTGGTCACACATGATCTGGTCTCTTCTGCATTAATACATTTATCATAAAGGTTCTTTATTTTACCATTGACAAATGGTAAGGAAATAATTGTTATTTTCTTAACTGTTTTAAGTTGTGTAAAGTTACCTAATGGGTTGTGCATGAAGCCGACTTCCATTTATATAAGCATTGTTATAGCAGAGTTTCATTTTTATAGTATCTTGTTTTATTGTAGCCAGTGTCATTATAACATTTGAGTGTGTTTGAGTTTGGTATTGCTTAAATCACAGTATTGAGTTATATTTTATGGTCTAGTCATAGGTGTATGCATGGTTTTGTAAACCTTGTGAGAAAGGTTTCACAGTAATAATTTAACAGAAGAGACTACTAATAAAGTAAATTTGTTTAAAGCAAGTCTACAGAATGAGTTATTTACTGAGCACAAATTATTAATATAATGTATTTGTGTATGTATCTTAAATAAGGTGCTCATCAATACTATTTGTGTTCAAATGAACAAAATATTTTATACAATAATTTCTATTCATGACATAATGTTTACATTTATAAACAAATTTTATTGATATGATTATTGGAGCAAACGCATATCAAAAATTACTAGTTGACTAGGCTAATTGTTGGATGTACAAAGCAGTTCAAACTTCATCTCTAAACAAAAGATTAAGAAAAATAATGTCTCATCATCATCTCTTAGTGCCCACCACATTATTAACAAAGTTATGTGTTCAAATTTTGATACTTGTAAACACTGTTCATAAAAGAAAGTAAGTTATTAATACGCTTGAGAAAGCAAATACGATTCATTTCTTTCTTTTATTTTCTTGTTTCTTTTGCTTTTCTTCAAGTTAAGCTGATATTGCACTTATAGCAAAATTTATTGGATTATTTTTTTATTTTGCATCAATTACAATAATATTGAAAATAGAGAAGTTAAACTCATTGTGAGAGGTGAAATCATGAATGTTGTTATCCAGGAGCAACGAATAGCATTTTTTGTTTATTTCTTGTAGTGTTCCCAAATACTCGTATTATCAGTATTAAAAAATTAAACGGATATGTTTGCTCCAACATTGGTTTGGTATGAGTTGTGAACCTTGCAGTTGTGTGAAATGTATACATTTCATTGTGCTCAAGTTACGTTGGCAAAGACAATTTACCCACAAAATGCAAGTACAATACTTACTTTTGTATAACATTATGTTATGCTGTAATTTATTGCTTTAAATTATGGGAAATATTATTACATATGTGTTAGTGTATATATATCTGTAAATGCCTTTAGTGCTTTTTTTGATTTATTTTAGAAGAACAAAATACTTATAAGTAAAAGGAAGGGACCAATTTTTATTTGTTTTAAATGTACAGATGTTAGATGACTTATAATGTACCAAAGATACTTAATAATATCTTTTAAACTTGATTATTTGTTAACTGAAATGATTTATTGTCTTCCAGAGGGCACTCTTATGTAAGTGTCAAGCTACTTTGTAGAGTTTTATTCTGAAATTTTACCTTTTGTCAGATACATGTTGAAACTGATTATAATATTGTAATGTGGTACAATATTCTAATTCTATTCAGTGTCAAAAATAACTTTGTAAGCTGATTTCAATTTGACAAATTAAATCATGGGGATCACTGATGCCATAGAATGATAAATAAAGATTTAATTGAAGAAGGTGGCAGTTTTTTTTTATTTTGTCTATTTGGGAAAACACAAACATTTTGAAATTAATACTTTATAAATGTGTATTTTTTTATTTATTTAATGATAATTGGTGGTTATGTAACCTATCAAAAGTCTCAGATAATGGAAATTGTCTCAAAGTCGAGCCAAAAAGTTTTCTATACACATGAAACTATTTCAGATCTTCATATATATGGTATGGATATTGTACCCCTGTTAACAGACCACACCTCTCCCTGACCTCTGATCAGACTCTTAATAGCAATTTTCTTCATTTACCCCTTTGAAGAGACAACTTTCAGGAAAATTGTAAGAATACATTACTCCAAAATTTCAATAGTTAAAATGAAAATTGCCAACATTGTAAAAAGACTTCACATGACAGGTCCCATGCCTTTCGTTCTCAAAGAAATCAGAGGGAGGGGGAGGGATCCGGTGCCACTGTTATGCTGTCATGGCTGCTTGCTCCCTTTCAGTTTTATTTCTCTTAATGAGACAGCAGATACAGAGATTATGTAACAGTTAATTCGTATTGTTAACAGAACCCTCCTTAGCTTACCTTCTTGAAAGAAAATCTGGTGCAGTAGAATGTCAATGTCAGAAGTAACAAGCAGCAAGTGCATCCTGAATCTAAGCCCAGTGCTCACCCAAGACCAATTGATTGATGCTTTTTAAATTGTGCAAAGAAGAGCAAAATAAGTAAAATTTTGAGCTCCTAAGATGTAGATTGTGTCATGCGTTCTGTAACATATTGAATCTACACCAGAAAATGAATGTTTGTGGTAGGCAACTATCGGGATACTAAAACTGAAAATGATTTAAAAGTTTATTTTTTCCCATAAGAAGATATGTTTTAAATTGCATTTAAAATATAATAAATAACAGTGAATTTTTGTTAGAAAAGCTCTTATTGCTGGGCTCTGGCAACAAAAAAGTGAAGAAATCTTGTTCATATACATAGTAAGTTACATCCTCTAACACAATCAGAATCCATGTTTTGTGGGTCCTTGATTTCGAATAATCAATTGTGTGCAAAACGTTTGTTGGTAAACATCACTAGAGGCTAAACTTTAAGCAGGATTTTCACCAATATTGACATTTCCTAATCGATCTGGCTAATGTCACAACCCCTTAAATTTGAAACCTTATTTTCCTTGAAATCCCTAAATTATCGAAAATTGTAAAAATTAAAAAATTGTTTGCCTCCCTGCAACCACAATTGTGAAGATTGTTTTTCTTAATGAAATGTTTTCATCGGAAACAAATTTTCAAAGAGTCATATTCAATTTTTCAAAATTTGCCTAATCAAATTTCAAAATTTTTGGCCTAATTATGCGTCAAACATTGCAAATTTAAAAACAAAAAAAAGATGATGGTCCCATTTTCAGTGCAGTCACTGTATTTTCGAAAATTGCCAAAAAAAAAAAAAAAAAAAAATCGAAATTTTAATTTAAACTTATGCGTGCTTTGTTTGATGCATTGTTAGGTAGAAAATTGCAGCACAGTGGTTCAAATTCATTGCTTTGTTGTAGGTCGTGATGTTTGTATGATGTAGATAAATATTCTTATAAAAGGAAATAGATTGAAGGAAGGTAATAAATTTAACTTAGAACTAACAAACGCACCTGTTTTCTATTAGAAGTTTTGATCACTGATTATGGTACTTTTCAAAAATTGAAAGCTCACTTGCATGTAATCAAAGCAGATTAATGTGAAATTATTCTTGCGTTTCTACATAATGTGCTGCAAATACCGTAACAGTAAAATTTATTCATGTTTGTTTCATTTATAAAAGTTAGAAATTACTACTGTTTCTGGCTAATGAAATAAATGCAGGGATATATCTCATTCGAGTTATAACTGTGTTTTTAGTACGGCAGAAATAAGAATATTTCAATATTACATAACTATTTTAAATAATGCAAGAAAGTATGGGCTTGTAGCACATGTAGCTTGCATAATAATAATATTAATAAAAATTGTTAAAAAAGATTCCCTGTGTTACCTGACCACCTATCAGCCATCTCAAATTTGCCTTTTTTCACAGAACCTACAGTGGTCACTTAATACAGGTCACACTTAATATTTTTTTATCTTGAAAATATTTTGCAATGATGTCATCCCATTTCTTTTCTCTTAGTATCTTTTTTTTTCTTTATATCTTTCCGTTTTGACCTTCAATCTACCAAATTTTTATAGCTAACTCCACACACGTTTTTTACCAAAAAATTTATCTTATACTATCAGAGCCATGCTGTACCGTGACTTTAAGTGAGAAATAAACTAATGGTGATACAGAATGACATATCATACTAATTAGTTTTCTAATTTCTTTGGTCTATGCCAGCTTAACAATCTTGCACCATCCTCTTGCTAGCTGCCATTATCACTGCACATTTTTTCAAAATTTTCTAATTTTTTTGTTTTCTAATGGTAGAACTGAAGAATATTAAAGACATGTAAAATCTTGTTCTATAAGGAAAAACTTTGTTGAAAACTTTCAAACCATTTTAAAGACAGTGGCGTTTAAGCGTTACTGTGAATGCAAAATTTAAAACTTTTTCACAGAAATCTTTTAAATGTTCAAAACACCATGTTGGAATTCATTTGACGCTCTTCTATTCACAATTGCAATAATGAATAAAAATGACTGGAAATGTGCAAATTAAAAGTGTGAGAGATTAAAAAATACATTTGTGTACTTTTAAAAAAAAATCAGCCAAATTAATTTCATCTTTCATAGTGCAATTAGCACTATGCGTTCGAAAGGTTAAAAAAAAATTCAAGCCGATATTGAGAAAATGGCGTTTTTTTGTTATTTTACAAAACGTCCGTCTATGAGCACATATAGGATTTTTTCCAAAGTTTTTTCCAATATATTGACTCGTCATACATGATTGTAATTGTATATGTAACTCAATAAATATTATTATTATTATTATTATTATTATTATTATTATTATTATTATTATTATTATTATTATTATTTTCTTAGTTTGAAGGCTTGGTATCTAAGGCCTTTAGCCTTTTTACTGATTGACGTTAAAATTAATCATATTAAATTTAAATTTTGTAGAAAAGATTGGCCTCTTTCAGGAACTGTATTGTTTTGTCAGTTGCTGTCTTGTCGGTGCCGAGATTCATGTTGCCTCTCATGCCGCATCTGTGTTTAAGTCTTGAGAGATCTACGCAGTCTGTCAGAATATGTTTCACTGTCAGAAGTCTTCCGTAGCTGCAGATGGGTTGTTCTTCATTTCTTAGCATTTTTGAAGAAGTCATTTTTGCATGGCCTATTCTTAGTCTTGTTATGCTCGTCGAGGGTATTTGGTGACCATTTACTGATATTCTGTTTAATGGGGTGTAGTTTCGTGTGAAGACTGTTCCACGTGGTCTGCCATTCTGTGAGGGTGCACTTCGAGGCAGCATTTCTTGCACCTTGAGGTCGTATTTCAATATCCATTTCTGATTGGATGTTCACGGCATTTCGCGCTGCAAAATCGGCTTCTTCATTGCCTGGGATACCCACGTGTCCAGGGCATCAGATGAACGTAACTGATGCTCCTCGCTGCGCTAATTTATGGCATGCTATGAGAATCATTTGTAGCAGTGGGTCTACGGTTTGGCGCCTGTCTATTACAGAGAATATACTTAGCGAGTCTGTGCAGATGACGAACCTTCCTGAATCGAGAGTTTCACAGTGTCGCAAAGACTGCAATACTGCATACAATTTGGCAGTGTACACACTTGCTTCTTGTGGAAGCGTCCAAGCCCTCGACAAGTTCTCAGTTATAAATGCGCTTCAAACCCGATGTTTTGTTTTTGAACCATCAGTGTAGATTATGGTGTGATTTGCCATGTATTCTTCGAGAACTGATCGAAGTCTGACTTTTAAATCTATGGGAAGGCATTCTTTTTTCTTTGCACTGGTAGTGTCGAGTCTTACTTCTTGCATTTTCAACATTCAAACTGGAATTTCATATGGTTCGTGTTGCAAAAATGGTGGTAGGACAATGTTAAAGCATTTGGCTATCTTGATTGCGCGGATGTTGGCTGGACGAGTAGCTGAAGGACTTTGATCATAAATATTTGCTAGCTTAGGTAGAGTCATCAATGAGTGGTTTAAATGTTACGGAAAAGACAGCAATTTTGATCTATAGTAGAGTAGCATTGTTTGTTGTCTGTGATGTAGCGACATGGTGCTGGTTTCACAGTAGAGGCGTGGGGAAGGACTAGTGCCAGATGTATATCGGAGGCCTGCATTGTGAACGGGATCTAGTTTCCTTAAACTTGATTTTCTGGCTGAGGAGTACACTGCACATCCATAATCTATTTTGGACATCATCATGGATTTGCACAGGCGGAGTAAGATGTCTCTATCTGCTCCCCAATTTATATGGGAAATGCATCTTATTACATTCAGAGCTGTTTTGCATCTACGCAAGGTATATTCTATATGCTGTTTCCATGATAAATGCCTATCAAAAATCAAACCAAGGAATTTTGTCGTTTCATTGTATGTCAGTTGAACACCATTCAGCGCCAGCTCTGGATCTCTGTAACTTTTTCTTTTCCTACAGAAGTGAACGCATTTGGTTTTGGCTGTTGTAAATGAGAATCCAATGTTTTTTGCGTTCTGTACGAATTTATTGATGACATTTTGCATTTTGAATTTGATAATTCCCAGTGATTTGGCTGAGTAAAATATAGCAATGTCATCTACATACATGCATTTTCCAATTGACGCTTCTATGCCGTCAAACATCTCGTTGATCGCTATGATAAAGAGAGTGTCACTCAATGGAGAGCCTTGCGGTACACCATTCTCAAGTACGTAGCTGTTTGAGAGTTATATAGCTGTCTCAGAATATTATATCGCCAAGTCTTATCGAAAGCTTTTTCCAGGTTAAAGAATACGGTAACCATATGTTTTCTTTTGATGAAGGTATTCAGAATTGCGTTTTCCATATATATTAGCTGGTCGATTGTAGAGTGATGTTGTCTGTATCTGCACTGATGTATGTTTAGGAAGTTGTTTCTTTCGAGACACCATGTTAGCCGGGTGTTGACCATTTTTTCCAAGATTTTTCCTAGACAGCATGTCAGCGATACTGGGCGATAAGTTTCAGGTTTTAATGGAACCTTGCCTGCCTTTAAAAGTGAATTATTATCGCTTCTTTCCAGACTTTGTGTCCAAATGATATTAAATATGTTTAGCAAAGTGGACAGTATGTCCTTCAGTAATCGACGTAGTATGCTGTAAGGGATGTCTGATCCTGCTGCGGTGTCTCCATCTGCATTTATGGCGTCTTGCAATTCTCTCCATGTGAAAAGAGCGTTATATGACATATCTGTATCGGTTGTAAAGTCAAGTACTTGTTCTTCTTCTTTCTTGTTCTCGAGAGTCTTTAGGATAGCTGTTTGTGTCACTGGCTCTGGAGTATTGGATGGCTAATGCGTTGGCTATTTCGTCAGGGTTGCATATTAGTTGTCCTTCGTGTTCTATGTATGTGATTGGACTGCTATTGACCGGATTTTCTGCCATATTTCCGTGACTTTGGTCGTCCGAGTTATGGTTGTTACGTACTTTTCCCAGCTTGATCGTTTTGCTGTTAGTATTTTTCTGCGAGCGAGCGCACGCAGACGCTTGAAAGCAATAAGATTGTCTTGGGTTGGTGCACGTCTATATCTATTGAGGGCTTTTCTTTTCTCCATTATTGCTTCTTTGGTCTCTGTATTCCATCATGGTACTGGGATCCTAGATGAGCGGCCACTAGTCTGTGGCATGTATTTTACAGCAGAAGATATGACAGTGTTGGTGAAATCAGTAACGTCTTTCTCTGCGTTTCCACTGACATTTGTTGGTGGTATATGTCTGTGAAGCTGGACCAGTCTGTGCGGTTGGTACACTAACGTTTTGGTTAATGTACTGTGCTCTTTGGCATGTTTGATGATATCAACAGAGGAAAGTGATCACTCTGATGAAGATCTGGCAAAAGTTTCCACGTCAGCCGAGTTGCAAGATTTGGACTACATATTGAGAAATCTATGGCTGAGAATGAGCCACTTCTAGCATTAAAATGAGTGCTTGCTCCTGTGTTTAAAAGTACGTATTCATTGTTAAGTAGCAGGTCATCGATTCTGCGACCGGAGTAATTTGTTCTAGAACAGCCCCATGTGGTACTGTGAGCATTGGAGTCGCCTAGAATTAGAAATGGAGGCTGTAGTTGATCGATCAAGTCTTGTAGATCTTCATTTCGCCATGAGGCATCGGGTAAGTATATGCAACATACCGCCATCTTCAATGGCTTGTATAAGGTTACAGCTATTGCTTGTAGAGGTGTGTTGAGATCGAGACGACTAGCAGGGTGTTTATTGCTGATCATTGTGGCAACACCACCTCTAACTGGTCTATCAGGTTCTACGTCACTGCGAAAGGTTTTATATTCTCTAAAATTGAGACCGTCTTCTGGTTTAAAACGGGTTTCTTGTAAGCCCACACACATTGGTGTGTGCTTGGCCAGTAGCAATCTCAGCTCACAGTAATGCGAGATACAGCCGTTAATATTCCATTGAATTATATTTTTCATGGTTCCTTCTGCTATAGGATGCGTAGATCTTGCTTATTTTCTTGGTTTTCCTTTTGGCCATCCTTTCTTCTTTCTCTTCTTACGCGGGGTTTTGCATAGATCGATGGACTGGTAATCATTCTTTTCAGCACTTACCATCGAACTTGTCTCAGAGCCAGTGGTTGTGTCTTGATCATTGGTCATTGATGATTTCGATTGATGATGCGATCGACTTCGATAGCCTGTTGACGATACTTCTTTGCCGAGTGTGGCTGCAGGCGCAGCTACTGGATTTCTCTCTGCCTCATTTGGTGGGGGTCTTGAAGATTGTTTTTCATTTACCATTCCAGTTTCTCTCTGAGTATTTGTGGTTGTCTTCTATGTTGATTTTGTTATTGTGAATTTCACTAAAATACTTTTCTATGCATCGGGCTATTGCAGGCATTAGTTCTTTTACTACTAAAGAAGATAAATGTGTGCTTTTAGTAACTGCTTCCACGTATGTAATATTTCCTTTATTTTCAGGACACACAAGCTTTTTGCTTCAGGATAGCTGATCTGTCTGGCTTTTTCTTGTTGTATTGCTGCCTCCTGCTTATATATTGGACAGTCTCTTGACCTTGGTGAATGTTGTTCACTGCAATTAATGCATTTGATAGGATCTATGCATGAATCATCACTTTGAAATGGCTTACCACAATGACATACTTTGATTCTCGCACATCTAGATGCTGGGTGTTCAAATCATAAACATTGAAATCACTGCATTGGTCGAGGAATGAACATTCGTATGGTTAGACGATGAATGTCTGCTTTAATCTTCTCTGGTAACGTACAACGCTTGAACGTCAGGACATGGGACGCTGAAGGAATTATATGTCCATCCCGCCTCATTGTTAGCCTACGACAGGCAATGACTCCTTGAGAAGCTAGTTCTTGAACTATTTCCTCTTCACTGCAGTTTAGTAAGTCACTACAAACTTCAACACCTTTGCAGGTATTCAGCGTGCCGTGAGCACTTACTTCAACATCTATAGTGCTTATTTTCTTCAATTCTAGTAACTTTTTACCTTGATTGTCATTAAATGTTTCTATCAATATCAGTCCAGATGAAGTTTTCTGTATGTCTTTTACGGCAGATCCAGCACAGGTGCTAATACTCTTCTCTTTTATAAATGGGCTCCCTTTATCAAAATTTCCTTCAGTTCTTTTTCCTGTAAGGTACTTAAGCACCGTTGCGGTTTTCTTGAACTGGTCATCATAGATTCTTGATTTTCAAATTTTCATTATTTTAGCATTGAATTCCGGGCTTTTTTCTGGACAAGGGTTTTTAAGGGATCCCTCAACCCTAGGTTCGCAGACTTCCATACGAGTCCCGTGAAGCTTGGTATTACTCGTAGCACTTGATGAACACATTTCTTTTTAAAAAAAGTTGAATCTTCACAATGGTAATTGTAGGAAAACGCCATTTTTTCTATTTTCAAAAATTTAGGAATTTCAAAGACTATGAGACCTACACCATTCTCTTAAACATCCTTTACGCTACCTAAGGTCCAAATTTTATCAAAAAATTGTGTGCAATTGTTTAAGAAAAAATTATATAAAAAATACAAATTGCCTCTGTTCGACCCAAACTTTCTCAAAAAATACTCATATTTTCGAAAAATTAAATTTGACATTATTGAAGATCTGTTTTTGATGAATACATTTCATTAAGAAGAAAAATGTTTATCTTCAAAATTGTAGTTGTAGTTTTTTTGAGGTAATTTTGAATTTTTGCCATTTTCACAAATCAGAATATTCAACGAAGATGAGATCTGCACCATTCTCTTCAGCGTTTTACACGCTATCCGTGATCAAAATTAAATCAAAGTTGTTGGTACCGTTTTCGAGAAAAAAATGTTTAAAAATATTAATTATTCCCCATATTTCGCGCAAAATTACGCGAAAAGTACTCAAATTGTCGAAAATTTGTAAATAACCTTATTTTAAAATCTATCTTTCAGGACCAGATTTCATCGAGGCAAAATATCTCTAACTTCAATATTTTAGATATAGGAAGGCAGCAAAATATGTTAAACATTTGCAATTTTCGAAAAATCAGAGTTTCAACAAACATGAGACTTACACAATTTTCTTAAATGTCCTTCACACTATCAATCATCAAACTTTAATCAAAACTATGGAGCCATTAACATTTAACATACACATAGTATTAAGTTTAGTTTAATAATAGTAATAATAGTAAGTATTTAGTTTAATAATAAAATAAATTGTTGTTGTTATTATTATTATTATTATTATTATTATTATTATTATTATTATTATTATTATTATTATTATCGCCATAATTTTTTTATTAAGTCCGCCATACTGGCTGTGATTTAGAATATGTTTCTCTGATGGCGCAATACGCATCCTTGCCCTACGCAACACTTCTTATATTAAAACTTATTTATTGGACGGATGATTGATTTTACTGTGTATACCGGAAAATACCATGTCGAACGTTGTGAGAACGACATGTGGATTTCAATATTATGATTTATAGAGTCGACTGTGATTCTGTTGTACTGGTTGTACCAAAGAGTGCAACTATTCAAGAGTATAGTTTGTGATAGTACTCTTCGGTTAGTACGTGCTTTTTCATATAGTTTTATCTCCGAAAATCGTCATCTCGAATCGGTTAGTTCCAACATTTTTAAAATGGTTTCTTGAATACGAAATGTTCATTTGCTTGTCTAATACTTGGAATTGTACCATTTATTATAATTGCTTATAAATTTCTTTACTATGGACAGGTGATGTATTGTTATTGTTCTTCCACGATAATACTATTTTCTTCATTATCTGTGCAAACTTGGAGTAATAAATATATTCCTGTACTTGGATTTTTATAATTTGGCTGATGAGTGCCTGTGTTCACGATGGAATATCTTGCAGCATTCGCGTCTTTCTCGGCCGTGCCGTTAGATCTCGCATGATCGCCAGCACTGTTTGATACTGTCGCGATCATGCGACCTCTAGCGGCAAAATTGAGAAAGACCTGAAATGCCGTGAGTCGTGAAGCAGGCACTCACCCGACAAGGTATAAAAATTGAAGTATAGATATGTGTGTGCAACCTCTGCATCACTTCTACACTCTCTGGTCACATTGCGATCTTGCGTCGGTTTCTCAAACTAATGTATCTGGGGCTTGTGGGTAATTACGCCCTAGCTTGCTTGGGATTTTCATCTCAGCTGAGGTGTAGGATGTTCTGACGAGGTGGTTGTGAGTGTGTTTCGACGTGATGCACTATATTATCATTTTTAGGAGATGAAATGATGCGGGAGTAAAACAATATTAATTGCCGTGACGGGCCTTTGAGAGAATACGCTTTGCAATATGCCTGGTTTAATACGCGTGAGTGAATTTGTGGAAGAAACTCGTGAGGATTATAACTCACCAACAACATCAACATTTGTTTCGCGAATGCCACAATGCAGACAGACGATTGCAACTTTAGAAGAGGTAAATCAATTTATATTTATGGTAATGTTCGGTAAATGGATAATTGTATGTATTATTTTGTGCGCATGTGAGGAGGGCGTGATTTGTTGAATGTCAAAATATTGTCGGAAGAGGCGGTTACGATAAAATAACTATTGTCTTAATGGTAAGAAAGACATCGCTATAAACTCGGAGAAATTGTTTACGTTTTCACAGTTTCAGAGATAATATATGCAACCACTGTTGTTGAATATTATATCAAAAACCGTAAGCATTAGTTTTGACAGAAAGATGTCTAATGTTTACGTTTTCTTACGAATATTGTTAGTGTGAAAATTGTTATTTGTTCTTAGTTTGCATTTGTAAAAATATGTTGAAAATAAGAAAGAGTAATTTGAAGTAAAAAAAAAAATAATATAATTGAAAATTATTTTCTTTTCTTTGAGCATGACTGTCACTCTTGAAGTATTTTGTCTGATCTTCCTCATTTAAATAGAAAATCCTTAAATTGTACAATATTAAAAAAGCAATTTAGTGAAATGTTAACAAAAATAGGTTATGTGTGAACTAAGTTTACTGTATATTTCCATCAGAAGGAATAAGGGCAGATAACATGAGAAACATTTAAAAATTTGGTTGCTAAATTCTGGGAATCAAAACCTGTAATCATTTCAGATTAGCAGGTCTATTAATAAAAGGATAAATATATTTCTAAGAATAAAAGTATAAATTATATGATAGCTTACATATTAAATCTATGGAAATTCTACAATTCTGTGATCTCAGAGTGAAAACTTCTAGCCAAGACCTATATAGTACGTAAAAATCTATCATGCAACCAGTGTTAGTGTTCATTTCAGTTCATATACTGTTTGTCATAGTAACCAACCTCTGATAATATTTGTGACTAATTTGTGGAATTTATACACAGTAAAGTGTTATTTCCTGGTTTCATTTGATTAGTTAATTCTCATTATTGAATGAAGTGATGGCATTGTAGATTTGACCCTCTGTAGTGTATTATTAGTGAAAAAAATCACTAGTTTCAATGCTTCTCTCCTAGTAGAACCTAGCCATGCATTTTTGCTGTACGTGGGCTAATGTTAATTGTAAGTTCATTTCCACACTGCCCACTGAATTTGTGTAATAGCCGAAATAATAAAGTTAACTATAATATTTGACTTGTTAAAACACCCACTTGTTCGCCTGCTGAGCATGGGAGCCTGTTTCAAGCTTGTCGCTTCCCTTACGACATGAATTAGCCACTCACGCCGGCCGTGCTCCAGTCCTGTCACATTCTGTAAATGGGGCATCAGGACATAGAAACCACTTTTATTAGAGCGCCTCGCGAGAACTGCATATTTGCATGTAAGCAGGAAACGTGACCGGTTCTGACGGCTCCAGGGCTTTCTGAGCAATTAACAGGAAATCCGGACGTTCGAGATACGAGCCCCCGGCTGCGAGCTGTGGACCGTCGTAAATCTTGGGCTGAATACGTTCCGAATGAAGCATACATCTCGTAGCATTGTTGCACTCGAACCTTTGAAAAAGTTGACAGGTGAAAGAATTGACTGTTTTCGTAAAATAGACGTTCTGAGCCTTGTGTTATGTTGAGTTTCTTTTTAACTTTCTCATCAGACTATGGACTTGCGTAGTAAATAGAAAGTATTTTAATGCTGCAGCGAAAAGTAGTAATATTTCGTAAAAAAGTCCCTCAGATTGTGGGGTTCTGATACCGAAAAAAATGAGTAAATCTTGTACCTATGTGAAATAAATTACTTCCTCCAACACATTGTGTAATCAGCATCCAAGATTTTTGTTGGGTCATTGGTAAAAAAAAAAAAAATGACTGTCCGACCGTCCGTCGGTGTCCGTGTGTCTTGTCTGTGGTTATTGGTAGCAACTAAACTGTTCTGACAATTTTCTACAAAATTGAAATTCCCTCATCAAATTCAAGACCTTTTACCAATTTATCCCAATTAACCCAAAGTATTTGGGATGATGATAATAATAATAATAATAATAATAATAATAATAATAATAATAATAAATTGCGTTTACTTCAATCAAAAATTTCGCGAAAGATAGTTTTTTTACTTTCACGAATACAAAATAGTATACAGAAGCAACAGAAAACGGCGATTTTTCAGCAGAACAATTCGTTTTGTGGATCCCTGGTACCGGATTATTTTTGTTTCCGTATGTAGAAAATTTGAGATTTTAGAAGTCAGATTCCACGTTTTGTGAATCTTTTACACATAGAAATTGGTCTGCCTTTCCGTTCGGACGTCAATCAGTCAGAACGTAAGCAAGTCGGCCCGTCCTCCAGTCCGTCAGTCGTTCCGTCCGTCAGTCGTTCCGCCCATTTCCGTCGTTTCAATTATTTTTCAAAGGAACAACTTGTAAAAAACAATTCAAAAATAATGTCATAACAGTAGCAATTTTCAATAAACTTCAACTGAATGAGAAGTAACATCACTTATTTCTGAAATAATGCAGGCATCTAGTTTGCCACTTATCAAAAACAATAGTAATGATATCATTAATACTACAAATCTTATCGAAACTAAATTCTTTGCCCAAAATACGATTTAAACTAAATTCAAATGTGAGTACTGTCCCTAATAATTTGACCACCTACTGTGTATATATACACACGTGTGTGTGCTTTTTGTATATGTATATGTGTATATATATGTATATATATATATATATGTATATGTATATATATATGTATAT